AAAACATGTGAATCAATCACGTATTAAAAAATGAGTAGATTTTTCTATTAGTCTTTAGTAAGGAATTAACAATCATTTAACCCATTAAAAAATGAATAGATATTTCTATTAAGATCCGTTAAAAACATGTGAATCAATCACGTATTAAAAAATGAGTAGATTTTTCTATTAGTCTTTAGTAAGGAATTAACAATCATTTAACCCATTAAAAAATGAATAGATATTTCTATTAAGATCCGTTAAAAACATGTGAATCAATCACGTATTAAAAAATGAGTAGATTTTTCTATTAGTCTTTAGTAAGGAATTAACAATCATTTAACCCATTAAAAAATGAATAGATATTTCTATTAAGATCCGTTAAAAACATGTGAATCAATCACGTATTAAAAAATGAGTAGATTTTTCTATTAGTCTTTAGTAAGGAATTAACAATCATTTAACCCATTAAAAAATGAATAGATATTTCTATTAAGATCCGTTAAAAACATGTGAATCAATCACGTATTAAAAAATGAGTAGATTTTTCTATTAGTCTTTAGTAAGGAATTAACAATCATTTAACCCATTAAAAAATGAATAGATATTTCTATTAAGATCCGTTAAAAACATGTGAATCAATCACGTATTAAAAAATGAGTAGATTTTTCTATTAGTCTTTAGTAAGGAATTAACAATCATTTAACCCATTAAAAAATGAATAGATATTTCTATTAAGATCCGTTAAAAACATGTGAATCAATCACGTATTAAAAAATGAGTAGATTTTTCTATTAGTCTTTAGTAAGGAATTAACAATCATTTAACCCATTAAAAAATGAATAGATATTTCTATTAAGATCCGTTAAAAACATGTGAATCAATCACGTATTAAAAAATGAGTAGATTTTTCTATTAGTCTTTAGTAAGGAATTAACAATCATTTAACCCATTAAAAAATGAATAGATATTTCTATTAAGATCCGTTAAAAACATGTGAATCAATCACGTATTAAAAAATGATTAGATTTTTCTATTAGTCTTTAGTAAGGAATTAACAATCATTTAACCCATTAAAAAATGAATAGATATTTCTATTAAGATCCGTTAAAAACATGTGAATCAATCACGTATTAAAAAATGAGTAGATTTTTCTATTAGTCTTTAGTAAGGAATTAACAATCATTTAACCCATTAAAAAATGAATAGATATTTCTATTAAGATCCGTTAAAAACATGTGAATCAATCACGTATTAAAAAATGAGTAGATTTTTCTATTAGTCTTTAGTAAGGAATTAACAATCATTTAACCCATTAAAAAATGAATAGATATTTCTATTAAGATCCGTTAAAAACATGTGAATCAATCACGTATTAAAAAATGAGTAGATTTTTCTATTAGTCTTTAGTAAGGAATTAACAATCATTTAACCCATTAAAAAATGAATAGATATTTCTATTAAGATCCGTTAAAAACATGTGAATCAATCACGTATTAAAAAATGAGTAGATTTTTCTATTAGTCTTTAGTAAGGAATTAACAATCATTTAACCCATTAAAAAATGAATAGATATTTCTATTAAGATCCGTTAAAAACATGTGAATCAATCACGTATTAAAAAATGAGTAGATTTTTCTATTAGTCTTTAGTAAGGAATTAACAATCATTTAACCCATTAAAAAATGAATAGATATTTCTATTAAGATCCGTTAAAAACATGTGAATCAATCACGTATTAAAAAATGAGTAGATTTTTCTATTAGTCTTTAGTAAGGAATTAACAATCATTTAACCCATTAAAAAATGAATAGATATTTCTATTAAGATCCGTTAAAAACATGTGAATCAATCACGTATTAAAAAATGAGTAGATTTTTCTATTAGTCTTTAGTAAGGAATTAACAATCATTTAACCCATTAAAAAATGAATAGATATTTCTATTAAGATCCGTTAAAAACATGTGAATCAATCACGTATTAAAAAATGAGTAGATTTTTCTATTAGTCTTTAGTAAGGAATTAACAATCATTTAACCCATTAAAAAATGAATAGATATTTCTATTAAGATCCGTTAAAAACATGTGAATCAATCACGTATTAAAAAATGAGTAGATTTTTCTATTAGTCTTTAGTAAGGAATTAACAATCATTTAACCCATTAAAAAATGAATAGATATTTCTATTAAGATCCGTTAAAAACATGTGAATCAATCACGTATTAAAAAATGAGTAGATTTTTCTATTAGTCTTTAGTAAGGAATTAACAATCATTTAACCCATTAAAAAATGAATAGATATTTCTATTAAGATCCGTTAAAAACATGTGAATCAATCACGTATTAAAAAATGAGTAGATTTTTCTATTAGTCTTTAGTAAGGAATTAACAATCATTTAACCCATTAAAAAATGAATAGATATTTCTATTAAGATCCGTTAAAAACATGTGAATCAATCACGTATTAAAAAATGAGTAGATTTTTCTATTAGTCTTTAGTAAGGAATTAACAATCATTTAACCCATTAAAAAATGAATAGATATTTCTATTAAGATCCGTTAAAAACATGTGAATCAATCACGTATTAAAAAATGAGTAGATTTTTCTATTAGTCTTTAGTAAGGAATTAACAATCATTTAACCCATTAAAAAATGAATAGATATTTCTATTAAGATCCGTTAAAAACATGTGAATCAATCACGTATTAAAAAATGAGTAGATTTTTCTATTAGTCTTTAGTAAGGAATTAACAATCATTTAACCCATTAAAAAATGAATAGATATTTCTATTAAGATCCGTTAAAAACATGTGAATCAATCACGTATTAAAAAATGAGTAGATTTTTCTATTAGTCTTTAGTAAGGAATTAACAATCATTTAACCCATTAAAAAATGAATAGATATTTCTATTAAGATCCGTTAAAAACATGTGAATCAATCACGTATTAAAAAATGAGTAGATTTTTCTATTAGTCTTTAGTAAGGAATTAACAATCATTTAACCCATTAAAAAATGAATAGATATTTCTATTAAGATCCGTTAAAAACATGTGAATCAATCACGTATTAAAAAATGAGTAGATTTTTCTATTAGTCTTTAGTAAGGAATTAACAATCATTTAACCCATTAAAAAATGAATAGATATTTCTATTAAGATCCGTTAAAAACATGTGAATCAATCACGTATTAAAAAATGAGTAGATTTTTCTATTAGTCTTTAGTAAGGAATTAACAATCATTTAACCCATTAAAAAATGAATAGATATTTCTATTAAGATCCGTTAAAAAACATGTGAATCAATCACGTATTAAAAAATGATTAGATTTTTCTATTAGTCTTTAGTAAGGAATTAACAATCATTTAACCCATTAAAAAATGAATAGATATTTCTATTAAGATCCGTTAAAAACATGTGAATCAATCACGTATTAAAAAATGAGTAGATTTTTCTATTAGTCTTTAGTAAGGAATTAACAATCATTTAACCCATTAAAAAATGAATAGATATTTCTATTAAGATCCGTTAAAAACATGTGAATCAATCACGTATTAAAAAATGAGTAGATTTTTCTATTAGTCTTTAGTAAGGAATTAACAATCATTTAACCCATTAAAAAATGAATAGATATTTCTATTAAGATCCGTTAAAAACATGTGAATCAATCACGTATTAAAAAATGAGTAGATTTTTCTATTAGTCTTTAGTAAGGAATTAACAATCATTTAACCCATTAAAAAATGAATAGATATTTCTATTAAGATCCGTTAAAAACATGTGAATCAATCACGTATTAAAAAATGAGTAGATTTTTCTATTAGTCTTTAGTAAGGAATTAACAATCATTTAACCCATTAAAAAATGAATAGATATTTCTATTAAGATCCGTTAAAAACATGTGAATCAATCACGTATTAAAAAATGAGTAGATTTTTCTATTAGTCTTTAGTAAGGAATTAACAATCATTTAACCCATTAAAAAATGAATAGATATTTCTATTAAGATCCGTTAAAAACATGTGAATCAATCACGTATTAAAAAATGAGTAGATTTTTCTATTAGTCTTTAGTAAGGAATTAACAATCATTTAACCCATTAAAAAATGAATAGATATTTCTATTAAGATCCGTTAAAAACATGTGAATCAATCACGTATTAAAAAATGAGTAGATTTTTCTATTAGTCTTTAGTAAGGAATTAACAATCATTTAACCCATTAAAAAATGAATAGATATTTCTATTAAGATCCGTTAAAAACATGTGAATCAATCACGTATTAAAAAATGAGTAGATTTTTCTATTAGTCTTTAGTAAGGAATTAACAATCATTTAACCCATTAAAAAATGAATAGATATTTCTATTAAGATCCGTTAAAAACATGTGAATCAATCACGTATTAAAAAATGAGTAGATTTTTCTATTAGTCTTTAGTAAGGAATTAACAATCATTTAACCCATTAAAAAATGAATAGATATTTCTATTAAGATCCGTTAAAAACATGTGAATCAATCACGTATTAAAAAATGAGTAGATTTTTCTATTAGTCTTTAGTAAGGAATTAACAATCATTTAACCCATTAAAAAATGAATAGATATTTCTATTAAGATCCGTTAAAAACATGTGAATCAATCACGTATTAAAAAATGAGTAGATTTTTCTATTAGTCTTTAGTAAGGAATTAACAATCATTTAACCCATTAAAAAATGAATAGATATTTCTATTAAGATCCGTTAAAAACATATTGCCTGTTGATATTGCATATTGATATAACCTGTACTTATATAAGTACTGATTGACTAACTAATAGTCTATTAGTTTGTAATAAATATTTATTGAATTTTCATTTGCTTCAATTGTGGTGACAGACATACCGATGCCGACTAAAAAAACTGATGATAGCATTATCTTAGATGAAAACTTGCCGTCAAAACAACATATTTTAGTGACAACAGATGGAAATGATGATTACCACAGAAGATAAGTCAGAAGACAAATATAGTAAACGTTGAATCAATGCCTACTAATGACGAAAAAGACAATGAAGTCGTGAAGAAAACGACTTTAAGTGATAGTAAAGTTATTGTTTCTGAGAAAACAAATGACAAAAACAAAGTATCGACAACAACAACGACAACAACTGATTAAAAAAAAAACAATTGTCGGACAACAACAACAACTAGACGACGACAAAGATGTCGCTGAATTGGTATCAAAGTCGACAACAATCGATGATAAAAATAATAGTATAGTAAACGACAAGAAGATAAAAGAGGATAATAATAATAGTCTGTCAAATGTTGAAGAAGTTATAAAATCAGTAGATATTAGTACCACTGATGATGACAAAGATGTCAAAGACATACCGTCGTTGTCGACAAAAACCATTGATACCATTGTTGGCGGCATTGAAAACATGTCGTCAAAACCAGTATCGGAGAAACCAGTGGTCAAGACCACAGAAGACAACAACACGACTAAAACTACAGTCGATGCCTACAAACCCATTGTTGTCGAAGAAGATGTCCAGAAATTTAGCGATAATAATAACAATACTAAAACAGATCCAAAACAATTGACAACAGATTCGTTGCCACAACAGTTGCCAACAATTGACAACAAAAACACATCCGCAACGACAACAACAACAACTGATCCAATAGTTTCGTCTAAAGACAACACGAAATCAATTGTTGATGACTTTAAAGCTGATGACAACAGTATAGCAAAAGATAAGAAGACTTCTGCTACTGATGTTAGAGAACTAGAAGAAGAAGTAGAAGAAGAGGAAGTGATCCTAAAGTTTAACGATATATCAGTATTGCCGCCACAAAAATCAGATACCATTGTTGGCGTCGTCGCCGCCGATGACGACTATTCAGCCGATAGATCGTTGACATACAAAGTGATCAGTAATGATGACGACAATGTAATTGACGCCAAACGACGAATTAGTGAAACAATTACCGATTATTTGCCGAAACAAAAATCAACAGATGATTTGTCGACAACATTATCGACAAAAAGCAGCGATAGTTCTTCATCTTCTTCTTCGGGCAGTACACTGATTAGTGAAGATAATAAAGACAACAATAAAAATCAATTGAAAACAATGTCCAGCGATTTGATGGCTAAATCATCAGATGATAGCATAGATAAGACAACACCAACAACAACAACGACAGATATTGATGTCAATATTGGTGTCTTGGCTGACAATATCGTAGCTAAATCTGGTGATCAATTGAAGACAACCATTGAAATCATACAATCATCGGTCAGTCCATTGAAAGCTAGTAGTGGTGGTAGTGGTGGTGAAGATCTGTTGCCAGACATTAGCAGCGATAGTACAACAGATAAGCAGATGAAAGTCGATGACAATGTCAAACAAGATATGACTAACGAAAAGAGGTCTTCAATAGCGTCGACGGCGGCAACAGTTGATGACAATAACAAGTTATTATCAACGGATGTGCCATCAGTTGAGCAAACAATGTCGTCGACAACAAAAATAACTGACGAATTGGACACTAGTTCTTCCAGTTCTTTGTTAAATAGCAGCAAAAATAATGACATTATATTAGACAAGAATTTAGCGAACAAGTCGTCAGCGATTGAATTGTCTGAAGAAGTCATAGTTTTGGCTAAAGATGACGAACTAAAGAAGTCGTCGTTGATATCGTCAGAAAACATGAAAAAGACAAATAATGAAGAAAAACAAGTGACGACCAAAACTAAGGACACTTTTGACACTAATTCAGGTGATGTCAAGTCTACGATTACTACCATAACAACAACAACAACTGATACCAATGTTTCTGATAATACAATTCAAACAGAGATGACAACAACAATGGTTGACGAAAACAAGTCATCATTGGATGTGTCGTCAAAACCAATACAGACATCGATAGTCATGAGCTCTACCATCGATGAATCGATGGTCACTGGACTGGACATCACTACTGCTGATGATGACAACAATAAACTATCCACTGATGATAATGTATTGATAAACAAGAAATTGTTGGAAACAGTTAGCGATAATAGTAAAGACATTTCAATTGGCGATACAATAGTTGAAGATTTGTCGTCAAAGTCGATACCAGTTAGTGATAATTATATTGGAAATGACAAGAAAAACGAGAAAAAGGACAAAAAAAAGAAGAAGAAAAGTCTTATTGCTGAAGAAGAAGAAAAGTCTTATTGCTGAAGAAGAAGAAAAGTCTTATTGCTGAAGAAGAAGAAAAGTCTTATTGCTGAAGAAGAAGAAGAGTCTTATTGCTGAAGAAGAAGAAGAGTCTTATTGCTGAAGAAGAAGAAGAGTCTTATTGCTGAAGAAGAAGAAGAGTCTTATTGCTGAAGAAGAAGAAGAGTCTTATTGCTGAAGAAGAAGAAGAGTCTTATTGCTGAAGAAGAAGAAGAGTCTTATTGCTGAAGAAGAAGAAGAGTCTTATTGCTGAAGAAGAAGAAGAGTCTTATTGCTGAAGAAGAAGAAGAGTCTTATTGCTGAAGAAGAAGAAGAGTCTTATTGCTGAAGAAGAAGAAGAGTCTTATTGCTGAAGAAGAAGAAGAGTCTTATTGCTGAAGAAGAAGAAGAGTCTTATTGCTGAAGAAGAAGAAGAGTCTTATTGCTGAAGAAGAAGAAGAGTCTTATTGCTGAAGAAGAAGAAGAGTCTTATTGCTGAAGAAGAAGAAGAGTCTTATTGCTGAAGAAGAAGAAGAGTCTTATTGCTGAAGAAGAAGAAGAGTCTTATTGCTGAAGAAGAAGAAGAGTCTTATTGCTGAAGAAGAAGAAGAGTCTTATTGCTGAAGAAGAAGAAGAGTCTTATTGCTGAAGAAGAAGAAGAGTCTTATTGCTGAAGAAGAAGAAAGTCTTATTGCTTATTGCTGAAGAAGAAGAAGAGTCTTATTGCTGAAGAAGAAGAAGAGTCTTATTGCTGAAGAAGAAGAAGAGTCTTATTGCTGAAGAAGATGAAGAGTCTTATTGCTGAAGAAGAAGAAGAGTCTTATTGCTGAAGAAGAAGAAGAGTCTTATTGCTGAAGAAGAAGAAGAGTCTTATTGCTGAAGAAGAAGAAGAGTCTTATTGCTGAAGAAGAAGAAGAGTCTTATTGCTGAAGAAGAAGAAGAGTCTTATTGCTGAAGAAGAAGAAGAGTCTTATTGCTGAAGAAGAAGAAGAGTCTTATTGCTGAAGAAGATGAAGAGTCTTATTGCTGAAGAAGAAGAAGAGTCTTATTGCTGAAGAAGAAGAAGAGTCTTATTGCTGAAGAAGAAGAAGAGTCTTATTGCTGAAGAAGAAGAAGAGTCTTATTGCTGAAGAAGATGAAGAGTCTTATTGCTGAAGAAGAAGAAGAGTCTTATTGCTGAAGAAGAAGAAGAGTCTTATTGCTGAAGAAGAAGAAGAGTCTTATTGCTGAAGAAGATGAAGAAGAAGAAGACATAAGTCATTTTATTTTATTATATAAAAAAAATTTTATTATTATTAGTATTATTACATATGATGTAAAATACATTGTATTGTATTGAATAAAAAATGAGAGATAGATAGAGAAAAAACAAACAAACAAACAAAAAATTATTGATAATAATAATTATAATAATTGAGTTTAACATTATTAATGATATTTTATAGATTTTTTTGTTGTGTGTATTATTTTTGTTGTTTGGTTTGTTATATATACGGTAATTGATATGATTGTGAATTAAGTGAATTAAAAAAAAAAAAAAAAATCAAATCTAATAAACAATTGATTGATTGATTGAAAAATAATAATATAGATTATAAATACCAATTGAATTGAATGCTAAATAAAATTTACTAAACATTTATAACAACAATAACAACAAATAAACAAAAAAATTAATTAAAATTAAAAACTACATGTCTTCGGGTCAAAAATAGCCCGTCCCGTGATTAAAATAGTTTATACACTATTGTAATGTATGTGTAAAATACGGTTTTTTTGTTGGCGATTTGAACCCGAAAATGGTCACCGATCGGGACCAAACGATCAAAACTTTAAATTAAAAAATATTTTTATTAATTTTTTTTAAGAATAAATAAATTTAAAATCTAATTAATATATATATATATATACTTCTTAATTCCCGATAAGTGGACCGGCGGGGCAAGTTTGACACTTTCCACTTGTTGGCCATACATATATGATCCTCATATTGAAAACTAAAGTCAGGCCTTTGACCCGTTCACCGGCCAGAAGCTCCCGAAGAATTTTCTTCGGTCAGGAATAACTCGGGTAGCGGAAATCGGACAGACATGAGACCACCATATTATCCTTTGTATTCGGATGGCCAACAAGTTATCTGTTGAACATAATTGTCTACAATGATGTTTTCGGGTCAAACTGGTCCGTTTAGTGATAATAATACTGTATTATACAGTATGTATAAGAGAAATACGGTATTACGGTAATTTTGGCCAGAAGATAATCATCGATTGGAATGAATTTTCAATATGATGTAGCAAATAGGTAGGCGGTACTGACCAGATATGTCACAACATTGTGGCCACTACTTGGGCCGCAAAAGCCATCATCTACTGATTTCATTATATGGTTTCGCGCCATAAAAGTAAAACATTACCGATAACTCCTTACAGGTTAACCGCCCGAAGTCAAGAGATTGGAAATATACAATTGGCCTCTAATTTGTCACACAATTGACCACTCAGATCACTTGGCCAGCCATCAGATCACAATGATCGGTATATCACTGTATAACTGGGTAGCGGACATCGGACAACATCCGTACCAACATATTATGGACAGTATTCAGATGGCCAGCATGTTGTCTATTGTACATTACTGTCGTGTATATTGATGTTTTCGGGTCAATATTGCCCGTCCCGTGATTACAATGTATTGTATGCGTTTTTAATGTATTAGCAAAATAGGTTTTTTGGGCGATTTGAATCCGAAGATGGTCACCGATCGGGACCAAACTTCGGGAGCAGATAGCATTTATGTATGCGGTACTAACTAGATGGATCATAACATTGTGGCCACTATTTACCGATTTATCGTTATTTACTCTCAATTTCATGTATGTAATACATTGGTTACACTATACGTACAGTACAATCATTTTTTTGTTAACTTTTATGAAAAATCGCTATTTCGGTAAACGGCCAACGATCGGGACGGGACATATGTCATTAGAACCGCATTGGTGGACAGAATATAGTATGAAAGTTTGGTCCAGATCGGTGGTCAACATCGGGTCCAAATGGCCGAAAAACATGTCTCGTATCTAATCAATTGATAACAATTAAAATTTTTTTGTATTTTTGTAAAAAATTAAAAATAAATAATTTAGTTTTAGATCTACTGCCACCACTAACAGTGTATATAATTGGTGTCCAATCGTTTGAGACCATAGTTAGCGGCGATAAATGTCCGAAACTGGTCGACAAACCGAGGGTCAAGCAAATCGGTTCTAAACGATTGCAATCCCTTAACCAATAGTTCATTACTGTCGTCATCGGCAAACACATTGCCGATACGCTTAACCGTCAGATTGTCTAATCGGCTGAACTGTTTGAGCCATGTTTTCGGTCCACGGATTACCAAATCGGTCGACATATTCAGCGTACGTATCATATGTTCGACAGGCAATAGGCTATTGGTGTCCAATAGTTGGTCACCGATTCGAGTATTCCTTCTAAATTGTCATACAATTATCGATACGACAGAGTTGTGGCCATAGTTGTCGATAATGGCTGCCGATTGTCATCAATACTTGATTGTTGTTTTCATAGTATTTTACTCTTGAAATTTTCGGAAACTTTTTCATCAAATGATTGGCAAATTTTTCTTCGGGTGTATCTCAACATTGACAATACCGATAACATATATGTTTGATCCATTCGGTTGGCAGATGAATACTGGTTAGACTACCGGAGCTGCACTGTTGAAACTGTTTGGACACTGACTCGTATTTAAGCAATTGATAGACCGGTAGATAACTGAGTATCAATTCGGCCAAATCATCGCCGAATTGATCAAACGATTCCCGATTTCGACCATTTCGTAGATCTTTTGTCGAATTCTTCGTTATCGATGACATAACCATTGATTGATGGATTGCTTGATCTGTTGATTGACTGTCTGACTGATTGATTGTTTAACTTTTTTTTTGAATTTAATTTCTACTTATTTTTTTACTTTAAATTAAAAAATATTTATATATATTATTGCATAATTTTATTTTTTTAAATTTTTAAATAAGTTATAATTTTTATAAAATTGATTTAATTATTAAACTATTAATAATTAATTTCAAATTATTTTTTTCGGTTATTAATTAGTTTGTTTAATATAATAACTTTTGTATTTAAGACTTAGATTAAAAAAATTATTTATATGATTATATCTGTAATAAAGATATTAAATAATTTATCTTTTTATTTAATGATTTTTAAATCTATTTTTTTATTCAATTTAATATCATAATTGACTGATTGATTGTTCACTTAATTACTTGGATACGGATATGAGTCGATACGAATCAGTAGTCATATCGTATGGTTGGCTAGGCTTTGGTTGTGTCCAATCAATGGCTGTAATTTCAATCAGTTTCAATTTAGACCGATAACTGTCCATAGCTTTCAACACCAGTTCATCAGTAATGTTGTCTAACACTAGACTCTGGACGACAAGTCTCTGCATTGACGACATATTTGTTGTCAATAACTGCAATACTTCGGGTCCATTGTCGACGACTACTGTCATCAAACGGATATAGGTTTCTAGATATTGAAGTCGCGGTAGATTTAGGTATAGATTGGCAATAAACGGCTGATTGACTATTAGTTTTGTAATTTTACCGCCAATTCTCAGATGTGTTAACTGTGGCCAACATTTCGGTGTTAACTGCAGATCAGTCATCTGTGTCGACGACAAATGTCTTTCAAGTAAATCAATGTCATTGTTGTCCAAATCATTTTCGCCAACCATATCCAGATCCAGACGTTTCAAACGATGCATTTGTTTGACTGATTTGAATGTCCGGATAAATGCCTTCAAATCAATGTCTTCATAATCGTAACAGATTTGTAGTCTTAGACGACTTAATAGTCCACAATTGTTGGCAATCTGTAGCAATGGATCCGGTATTGACGGTAATAATTTAAATTTATTTAAAATAAAAAAATAAAACATAAATAATATAGATATTGTATAATACAAATAGT